TGGAGCTGAACAAGAGAACAGTTCATTTTTTGCAACAATACTGTGCTAATATAGCTTTTCCTCTTGGTTTTTCACTCAGAAGTTTTATCAACATCCTTTGTCTATTTATTTTAAAAAATTGTTAAGAGTGATGATGGTTTCTCCTTATACCATTTAAAGTACATTCATTATGTACACATATTTCGTAAGTGTATAGTCACCATTTTATTTGCATTTGGGAGTACATATGTGTATCTCACCTCAGATGCTTTCTTCTAACATTAGCTCCAGACATATGTTTAAAATGGAGGGGTTTATTTTCTGAACAGTGGGAACAATAGAAGGTTAAAACTTGAGTTTGAAACTCTAAAGACATTGCTTGATTAATTGCAAGTGGAGGTCTAAGAAACAGGTTCAGAAAAACTGTTTTATTTCACAGGTTATTGGAATAAGTGGAATATTAATAGAGGAATGGAAATGTCTGCACATTATGAAACATCATTAAACATAATAGTTTAAAAAGGTAAAATAAGATTATGCCTTTGCATGTTTGTATTGCGATGGCACTTTGAACACTTTAAAAAGTACCTTGAAAAATACAAAGTTTTTTAATCTGAAACAGTATCTGTCACTGGGACGCTGGACTCAGAAAGAAAAAATATGTCATAGGCAGATAAACAGTTAACTAAAATATTTGGATAAACATATATTGAGTAAGAAAAAAACAAATACATAATAAAAACAATCCATTTGTCTGAGAAAGATTTACACTTTTGTGTGCAGTAGTGCAATACAGTATCTACCAAATTGGCTATATCCCATTGAGGCTATATCACAAAGCTGAAGATTTACTCAGTCAATGCATTATATACACCGTACATTATGATTTCTTGATCTAGTTATATCTTGCTAATACAAATCTGGAAATATAAGTGAGGTCTGGTAGAGGCAAAAGAAACAGAATATAAAACGTATCTGTTGTTTTACCTTAGTAAGTCTGGTAGCAGCTGAACTAATTGATTCTGTGATTGAACTGTTGATTGGCTTTGGCTGAAACTAAGGCTGCTATAGTAATTGATTCAAGATGATGAAGTGGAAATTGATATAAAGACCGTATGATGATGGTGTGAATTTATAGCAAGCTTCTGGAGTGTTTGCTCTTAGAAGCTGAGTCAGCTTCATTTTCCAGTTGTTATAATTGTCCATCAATACATTTACATGGAAACCAATATTGTAATTTGAATATTTAACTCCAGGTGTCACTTTGTAGTTTACCACAATTAGGGGTTTTTTAAGTAGTAAAAGTAGGAAGCTTCAGAGTTTTAATTAGGTTGCTTTGTACATTTTTGCCTTGTCAAGTACCTGACAGCCTTCAGACATGACTGAAGACTTACCTGTAATCTCTTCTATCTACTACTTTTTCAATGCTTCATAAGAAAGGGTCTGAGTGGCTACTGGTCCTGTATAGTTTACTTCTCAACTACCAGTTGAAACCAAGAGATTGGGTTAATTTCCCATTTAGTTTAATAAACAGGAGAAAGTCATCAAATGTTTACAACTTAGAAATAGGAATAATAATTATCTGATAAAACATGGTATTGAAGACTGTGAGACCTTATTTTGAACCTCAGCTAAACACTGCATTGCCCTACTGCTGCAGTCCAAACTCCTGAAAGAACAGCATTTCCTTGCAGTTCTGTTGTCAGAGGCAGCCTGCAAGCTTGCATAAATGAGATCTGTTACAAACAGAAGCTACTGAAACTCACATTTTTTAATTAAGCTGCAAGCTATACTCAAAATTATACCAACTAAATTGAAAATACATTCTCTCTGCAAGAGTTTCAAATTGTGCCCTTAGTTCCTCTAATATTAAAGCAAGGACAGAGTGCAAAAAAGCAATTTCTTTTGATGAATTACATGATTAGGTTCCGATTCAACTTTTATTATATCCTGTAACATTTAACATGGAGTGTCACTAGAAACAGTAAAATTGCTATAAATCTTGCGTATAAAAGCATGAAATCTCATTGCTGTGTTAAACAGTCGTGCGGTTTCTGACTATTCAGAAAGTTCTGCTTCATTTCTGTTCGTTAATTGCATTTGAGGGCTGTGCAACTGCTGCCTATTCTGTTTGCCTGAACGCGGTGCCTAATAGGCACTCGCATCCTCCATTTACCTGGCAGGCGTCTAGAAGTGGGGGCATGGAGCTATGTTTTCGGGGCAGCCATACATTTCACTGTCTTTGCATGCAGCAGGCAGTTGTGCTTTAGGACTCGAATCCTATTCAAAGCTTGGAAGTTTTACCATAGACTTCAGAAAGCCTGGGATGGACCGTAGGTTCCTAACTCATCCCTTCCCTTTGTATCTGGAGGAAAACTTTTGTTTCTGATCAGGAAAGAAACATCACCTGTCTGCCTAGACATGATGCACACACAGGCACCACAACTGTCTTGAAGTCAGGAATTAAATTACCTTCGCTGGACTCAAACCCAAATGTGTTATTCTTATTTAGAATAAATAAAATAAAAACAGGAAATAGAATTTAGAATTCAAATGCTGTTTGAGGCATGTGTCTCACTATTAGGGTCTGAAGAACATTCAACACTTAAGTTTAACTCTTCTGAGAAACACTCCCTGAGTCCTGGTTATTATTTAAGTGACATTTGGGTCTTTATTTGATGGTCTCAGTGGGAATTAAGTTGACAAAGGCTATATGCACTTCTCTGCTACCTTCAAATTTAAGCATACACCTCTGCAGCTTGTAACATCTTTTCCTTCCTTTTTTTTAGTGTGGGGGGTAGAAGCACCAATGTCTATTTTCAAAAGTGAGCTAGCATTTCACCATACAAACCTGTTTTTTTACAAGAATGGAGATGTAGGCTCCTGATACCATTTCCAAAAATAACATATTGGTTCCTTTATTCAAGATCATATCACGTTAGCAGAGAAGCTGAGCATCTGATATGTAATCAATAAATGTGAGCATTTCACAGAAGCAAATTGGCCTCTGAGGAGGTATTGATCTCTAAAGATCATATTTTAAAAAACGTTCCATCTTTATGAGTAAGAGATGGGTGTTGTGTCAGAGTAGTAAAAAGACAGACGGGAAAAGAGTTATAATGAAATGCATTCATGTGTGTCCCCTCCTGCTATCTTAATTATATCAGCATACACAGCCACAAATGTTTCACTGTTTACAGCTGAGATTTCATATGTTCCCATGTCATTAAGATGGAAAGTCTCGTAGAAAGGTTGTTGCATTTGCGCTTTTCCATTCTTATGTAACTTCAGCATGCTTAGGAATCCTGCTATATTTTGACAAAATTCTAGACGCACTAGATTTGTCTGAGACACATGGTGATGACATCCCAGCATCTGAGATTAAATCCTGCAGATTAAGAGCTAGAATTCAGATTTAACAAGAAGGGGAGACACCATTCTGTAGGTCTGCTGATTTTTAATGCAGCTTTCCTTATGTCATCCATCTACAACAAATTAAATGAAACAAATAACAATGTGCAGTAGAAAAGCTTATCATTTAAGAATTATATGGCTGACACACATGAAGAAACTATGCCATCATTTATCATCAGCCTTTCTTGTATCTTTGAAGAATGTAATCTAATGTGGGAGCTCCCAAAAATAGGTTATAAAAATTGTCTGCAGTTTGAAATCCATCAACTACTTTCTTTTATAGATAAGCTTCAGCACTGGGGACAAAATGGGGGCTATCAGAGAGACAGATAGCTCTCATTTAAAAGAAAGTGAGCTTGCTGGGAAGCCTACAATATACAGAAAACTTAAAGTGCAGAGGAAGTTAGTTCTAAACATTGATCCTGCTGCACTGAAGAAGCGTTCCCCAGCCCAGGGAATCATCATGGCTATACAGACTGAAGTGCAAAGTCCACCACTTCAACTTACTCCTGGTGCTAATGTTTAAAAGAAGGAGAATGCGATTGCACTTAATTATGATAGAATGGTAAAATGCTGCCTGGATGAAAACTGACCATATGTAACTTGCACGCTCTACTTGAAACACGTATTTAAGATTTGCATATACCTTACACTACAAAGTTTTTATTAGGTCTGTGTGACTGGGTGATTTTTTTTTTTTTCCTGAAAGCCTGCTTTTAGAGCCATCATCATGATGCCATCAACCCCGGTGAGCACAGGCAGTAGCAGTGCTCCTATTAGGAGTGATACACCTCGTTTCCTTACTTGGGAGCTTGTGTCTTCTTCCTTGGTGATGGAAACTGAGTAGAGATTAGTGAAACAATTCAGCTCGGATTTGCAGCCAAGTCCAAGGACGTTAGGAGTCCAACACTGGTGGGGGAGATGTAACCACAACCTGTCCTGGAAAAATCTGGATTTCTGGGCCCTGAGTAGCAGAGGCAGTATCCATCCCATGAGACCAGGAAACACATGACTGAAGTGTTGAGAAAGCTTTGGTGATTTGGGATGGTTAGCTACTTTTGTTCATTAAAGACCTTCTGGGGACTTCCGTTCAGCACTGATTGCCATTTGTTACCCATTCGTCATGGAGAACTTACAAGGTCCTGGGCTGGGGTAAAGGGGATCCCCCCAGAGAGGCTGGTGGATTCAAACTGTCGTCCTCCAAGGTTCAGACCCAAAGCTTGGACAAAGCAGACTCCTTTTTTAATTTCTCAGTGAATTCTTATGCGGTGCAAAATTGCCCTGTCTTTAGGCACATGTAATACATATTTTTATTCTCTCTTCAGTCTATCTTTTTAGATACAGTACTAGATATACGTAAATCAATATATATAAACTGTTACAAACCTGTGCCTGATTGTTAAATACAAAACATATTGAAGAGAAACTAAACGAGAAAAAAGTTGAAGAAAGTGGTTTTTAATCAAAGTAACAAAGCTGCATCTGTTTAAAAAAAGCTATTTGGAAGTGATACAATGCTACGTTTAATTTAAAATGCAATATTTGTCATGGCTTCAGAGTAGTTCCAACTAATGGTTACAAGGAAGAGTATTTTTGTGTTCACACAGGCACGGTGGGATGGCCTGACAGGGCGCATAACCTTCAACAAAACGGATGGCTTACGGAAGGATTTTGATTTGGACATTATTAGCCTGAAGGAGGAAGGAACAGAAAAGGTAACCAGATCTTTTGTAAAACAATGACAAAAAGCTAATTTGACAGGGCTGTAGGAAAGTCCGTTCTCCTCAGCTTGAATCTCCTGTGCTTGGGGTAAGAAACACTATTCTCAAGATTAGTTAGTTCCAAGTTAAAACGGAGCTACTAAGGTTGTTTTATTATATTATAATGCATACCTTGCATTTTGAGGTATGGGATAGGAATTTGGGACTGGCACAGGAATCTGGGACTGGCAATAATTATCTGAATGGAAATAATTATTTTAAGTGCGCATTATCTTCAGCTCTTACTGCTGTAACTTGGTGTGGTAAATTAATATATATAGATAAAACCTAGGCTTATCTTCCATGTACTGCTTTTAGTTAATGTGACATGAGGGAGAGAGGAAAGAAGGTGCTTGAGTAATAACCTCAACAAGAGTTGAGATGTTAAAAATCCTTCATGTTTTTGAGATTAGATCTTTTCTCTTTCCC